CATAACGCCATGTTACATTTAATGTGGTTACTGCAAGAGTAACGGATAAAAATGTCGCCTAACCTATCAGCTCCAACCTCGCTCTTTTGGATACAATCTTTTCAGATTCATGCATCACTTTTTGTAGATCCGGACATCGAGGATGGAGAAGTCAAAGCTGATTCAACGTCATCTAACCTTTAAGCTCGGGCCTCACTCCTTCGAATACCACTTAATTCGGGCTATATGTGGCGTTTTGTAGGTTCGAACATTGAGGATGGTGAAGGCAAAGCCAGTTTTGTATTAATCGTTTAGACGAGCACTTAGACAACTAGACTTTGACCCATTGCTACATATTTTACTACGCTGAATGTTATGTACATCGTAAGGTACTACGAGACTAAAGAATCTAACATCACTTAACCTATCAGCTCGGACCTCGCTCTGTATACACCCCAAGAAGTTAAGTTGTGTTAAGCTTTTACCTTTAAAAACTGGTTGTGATACTTGGTTGTTAGTTCTATGTTTAATAAAGGTAAGTAATTCCAGCCATACAGGGGGGGGATAACATCCAACTATCCATTGGGTGTCGCAACTTTTGTCATACTCCAGTAAAATATCGACTTTTTCCCCACATAAATCGCGAGGGTGTGTTTATTATTTATAAGGTGTATTATTTATGTGCTTAGATTAATATATATTTTTCCAGTTTTACATCTATTTAAAATACTCGAGTCGACAACGTGGAAAACAGAGACCTTGGATTATCGAGCTCTCCTTTTCCGGTTGAGAGGTTTTTCAATTTTCGTTCGTTTTAACTATGTATACAGTTTAAAAAATATAAATCACCCGTCAATGCATCAAAGCCAATCCGAAAAAAGCTCATATTTCCTATTTTATCGTCTGCAGTTCCGACTCACTAGGGGACGACCAAGTTGGTGGGTAGCGGATTTAGACCAAACTTTATTTTGGTGATTTTACACTCCAAAATATCGGACAGGTATTTATCCTTCTTGTGTGTTCTTGTGGATAGGACCTGATTTCGCTAAAAAAATGTTTGAAAGTTGAAATTGTCCGTTTTTTAACATTTCTATTTTGCCGTTCTACTTGCTCAAATCAACTATGTGAATCTTCATTTTACAACATTTTTTATATAGATTGCAATAAAAATATAGTAAAAGCTATCAATTGCAGGGAGAAATATCAACAACCTTAGATATGCAGATGATACCACTCTAGTGGAACTAAAGAGCCTCTTGATGCGGGTGAAGGAGGAGAGTGCAAAAGTTGGCTTGAAGCTGAACATTAAGAAAACTAAGATCATGGCATCTGGCCCTCTCAATTCCTGGCAAATAGATGGGGAAGAAATGGAAGTAGTGACAGACTTTATTTTCTTGGGCTCCAAGATCACCGCAGATGGGGACTGCAGCCAAGAAATTAAAAGACGCTTGCTCCTGGGGAGGAAAGCTATGACAAATCTAGACAGCATACTCAAAAGCAGAGACATCACCCTGCCAACAAAAGTGCGTATAGTCAAGGCGATGGTTTTCCCAGTTGCAATGTATGGCTGTGAAAGGTTCAGACTATTAGAAAGGCTGAACGCCAAAGAATTGAAGCCTTTGAACTCTGGTGCAGGAGAAGACTTCTGCGAGTCCCTTGGACTGCAAGGCGATCAAACCGGTCAATCCTGGAGGAGATCAACCCTGACTGCTCTCTAGAAGGCCAAATCCTGAAAATGAAACTTAAATGCTTTGGCCACCAAATGAGAAGTAATGACTCACTGGAGAAGAGCCTAATGCTGGGTAAGATTGAGGGCAAAAGAAGAAGGGGGCGACAGAGAATGAGGTGGATGGACGGAGTCACTGAAGCAGTCGGTGTGAGCTTAACTGGACTCCGGAAGATGGTGGAGGGCAGGAAGGCCTGGAGGAGCATTGTACATGGGGTCGCGATGGGTCGGACACGACTTCGCAACTAATAACAAAAGCTATCAAAGTTTATCAATAACCAAAAAATTTGTAAAAACCAAATATTTTTCAAGTAAACTAGGTCAAAAGTAGTTTTTTCGTAAAACTAATATGAAATTGCGTTTAAGCACCTAGAGAGATCCAGAAATATAAATTTGTATTTGAATTTAAATTTTTAACCCCTAAAATCTGATTGAAACTGCTATAATTCCAAAATTGCTATAAGGATTGAACGTCAAACAGACCATTTGAAAGAAGTGGAACGTAGCTTTTTAACGACATATTAACCATTAAAATATATATAATATTTCTATAAGAATAAATACAAAATAGCAAAATTATTTGTCAGAAATTAAACTCGTTTTTTAAAAAAATTTTTAAAAAAGAAATAATAATCAAATTTTAATGTTTGATCTGTTATAAAATGGACTTGAGAATTTCTTTAAAACGAATTATCAACCATGAAAATCGGTCCACTAGGTTTTGAAAAAAAAATGATGTTAGAGCTTGAACTAGGAATGCCAGCCAGGCAGAAAGGTCGTCAAAATTATCAGTTAAAAAATTAATTTACACCAATTTCCGCGAAAGTGCGTATCTAAAGGTTTTATAACATCTCAAAAAACGGAAAAATTTTAGAGGGCAAAAAATTGATAAATTTAAATTCAAACAAAAATTTATATTCATAGATCTCTAGAGGAGATAAAACGAAAAATATTAGTTTCACGAAAAAAATTGATGACCTAGTATACTTGAAAAATATTTGGTTTTTACAAATTTTTTGGTTATTTATAAACTTTGATAGTTTTTATTATATTTTTATTGCAATCTATATAAAAAATGCCAAAAAATTTTATATTCACATAGTTGATTTAAGCAAATAGAACGGCGAAATAACAATATTAAAAAACGGAAAATGTCAACTTTCAAACATTCTTTGAGCGAAACCAGGTCCTATCCACAAGACGTGGCAGATACCGGATATTTTGGAGTGTATATTCATCAAAAAAATGTTTGGTCTAAATCCGCGACCTACCAACTTAGTGTCCCCTAGTAAGCCGGAAATGCAGACGATAAAATAGCAAATATGAGCTTTTCTTCGGATTGGCTTTGACGCATTGACGGGAGGTTTATATTTTGTAAACTGTACACATAGTTAAAACAAACAGAAAATTGAAAAACCTCTCAACCGGAAAAGGAGATATTTTTGATAGAGATTGCAATAAAAATATAATAAAAACTATCAAAGTTTATCAATAACAAAAAAACATTGTAAAAACCAAGTATTTTTCAAGTATACTAGGTCATCAATTTTTTTTGTGAAACTAATATTTTTCTGCGTGGTGATTAGTGACCGTTAATCGATATTTATTTAGAAATCGTGAGATGCGGTCTGGTGTGATGTAGGTTTCAGAAAAACATTTTCTTTATCGTGCCAACGTTTCGATCTTTATTGAGATCATCTTCAGGGCCTGGGATTTACAAACATTGTTTACATATTACAATTACATTTAGGATGTGGAAAAGTTAATTTATACAACGCAAAATATATTTTATATATTCAATCAAAGTATTTCTACTCACTCAAAGTGTTTGTCTTCTGTGTAATCTTGCGTGTCATGTCGAGAGTGCCAGTGAGCTTTTGCTATTTTGTTTATATACGTTGGATTTAGAAGGGGTGGGGAAGGATGTCGGTATAGAAAAGACATTTTTGTATAAGGCGTCGGCTTCTTTGAGGTGAAAAGAGCCAACGAAGGGAAAAAAATGTGTTGGTAATGGTTCGGTCAGATTATCCTTTCAGAATTATACAGAAAGGGATAAAATAGGAAAAGGAAAGCTAAATTGTTGGGAAAATAGCAAAATCTCACTGGCACTCTCGACACGACACGCAAGAATGGCACAATTACACAGAAGACAAACACTTTGAGTGAGTAGAAATACTTTGATTGAATATATAAAAAAATATATTTTGCATTGTATAAATTCACTTTTCCACATGCAAAATGTAATTGTAATATGTAAACAATGTTTGTAAATCCCAGGCCCTGAAGATGATCTCAATAAAGATCGAAACGTTGGCACGATAAAGAAAATGTTTTTCTGAAACCTACATCACACCAGACCGCATCTCACGATTTCTAACTAATATTTTTCGTTTTAGCTCCTCTAGAGATCTGTAAATATGAATTTTTGTTTGAATTTAAATTTATCAATTTTTTAACCCCTAAAATTTTTCCGGTTTTTGAGAAGTCATAAAACCCTTAGATACGCACTTTCGCGGAAATTGGTGTAAATTAATTTTTTAACTGATAATTTTGACGACCTTTCTGCCTGGCTGGCATTCCTAGTGCAAGCTCTAACATCATTTTTTTTTTCAAAACCTAGTGGACCGATTTTCATGGTTGATTATTCGTTTTAAAGAAATTCTCAGGTCCATTTGAAAACTTATCAAACATTAAAATTTGACTTTTATTTCTATTTAAAAAAACGAGGTTGATTCCTGACAATTAATTTTGCTATTTTGTGTATATTCTTATTGAAATATTATAAATATTTTAATGGTCAATATGTCGTTAAAAAGCTACGTTCCTCTTCCTTCAAATGGTCTGTTTAACGTTACAATCCTTATAGCAATTTTTGAATTAAAGACGTTTCAATCAGATTTCCGATAGCGACTTCTCAAAAATCGAAAACATTTTACGGGCCACAAATTTAAATTAAAATACAAATTTATATTTATGGATCTCTGTTAATCGCAATTTCATATTAGTTTTACGAAAAAATATTTGACCTAGTTTACTTGAAAAATATTTGGTTTTTACAAATTTTTTGATTATTGATAAACTTTGATAGCTTTTACTATATTTTTATTGCAATCTACATAAAAAAAGGGTGTAAAATGATAATTCAAATAGTTGATTTGAGCAAGTAGAAAAGCAGAATAGAATCGTACAATTTCGACTTTCAAACATTTTTTTGGAGAACCTCGTCGACCCTCTTGTCAGGTTTTGACCGGATGGTCCGGCATCGGGAATAACATTTTTGAAAACTGACGTGTACCTTCGTTTTATACATGTGGCGCATAGCCAGGTCTGCTTGTAGCGAATGGAGCAATGTGCACATATTGTTAGGTCGCACATAGAACATGTACCGTCTTCGACGTCTACGAATTTGCAACCGCAGCGTGCACACCGGTCAATGTCCAGGCTGTCTTGAGGGGGGTCTAGTCTCTCGCTGAAAATAAAACAAACAATAAAAAAACGTTAAAAATGAATAGAATAATATTTTTTTACGTTAGATTACGTAACGGTTTAATTGCCAATGAAGTGACTCTTCAGTCTTGAGAGTTGTTTTTGTATTGTCGAATTCTTGAATTATGAAAGCGTTTGAAGATGTCGATGAAAAGATATCATTTTTTCTCGACTGACAAACACCCTAGGCACGTTTTATCTTGTTAAGTCTAAATCCTAAAGTTTGACTTGTCTTGAAAGCTCATGAACTAATTCAACTAGTCGACAATTTTTTACATGGTAAAATACATTTATTCTGGCATTTTGGTTTGTAAGAGAGTTTAACCATTGTCATTAGCCAGTTAGGGTTATAAGCAGGGTGAGACTAGAACAGAACTTTACGCTAATATGTCCTGTGTAATAAATAAACTATGTTCGGGACTTCGGGTCAGTTTTTCCACTAGATCCGGCCGTTTTGGTCTACCTATCCTCGCTCTTTTGGGCTGTCAGAGTTTCAGCACGATCGTAAATAGTCGTCAGTGTTATAAGTGGGCCAGGTTAGAACGAGTCATTGCGCTAATATTTCCTGTGTAGAATATAAACTAAGTTCAGGAGAGTTTTTTCGCTCGGTTGTTTCAGATCATTTTGGTCTTTATATAATTGCTGTTTTGTTCTTTCAGAGTTTCAGAATTTAACCATCGGCGTTAGTCGGTCAGGTTATAAGCAGGGTGAGGGTATAATAGAACTTTACGCTAATATGTTCTATGTAGGACATGAAATATTTTCAGGATTTTGCTCGGTCATTTCATATCATTTTGGTCTGTCTATGCTTGCTGTTTTGTTCTGTCAGATAGTTTCAGCGTTTAACCATTGTAAGTAGTCGTCAAGGTTATATGGAGGGCCAGGGGTTGGAACAAAACTGCACTAATATTTACAGTGTTGGATATGAATAAACTACGTTCGATTCCGACCATTTTGGTCTGTCTAGCCTCGCTGTTTTGGGATGTCAGAAAGTTTCAGCTCTTACCATCGTCAATAGTCCTCAGGGTTATAAGCAGGGTGAGGCTAGAACACGGTTTGCGCCAATATTTCCGGTGTAGGATTTAAACTACGTTCGTTCCCGAACATTTTGGTTTGTTTATCTCTGCCGTTTTGGCTTGTCTGGGAGTTTCAACATTTAACCATCTCGTGCCATTTCCCGTGTCGGTTGTAAACAATGACCAGTAGAATTATTTTTCCGTTCGGTCGTTTCCTATAATTTTGGTCTGCTTATCCTCGCTGTTGTGGTCTAGCAGAGTGTCAGCATTTAACCATCGTCAATAATCGGTCAGGGTTATAAGCAGGGTGAGGCTAGAACACGGCTTTCCGCTAATATATCCTGTATATATATATAAACTACGTTTGTTTCCTATCATCCCAATAGGATTCTATTCTCGCCGATTTTTGTTGGTTCAGACGCGTTTCGGGATTTCGCCATGTCACGCGTCTGAACTGGCAAAAATCAGAGAGGATACGCAGACCAGGATGACAGGTAACTATCAAACAATAAGTTATTTGTTTGCTCTGACATCGGTTTGGTGGAACTTTGATTTAATCTGTTCAACTCAATTCTGGTCGAAAAATAACCAGCTTTATTTATGCTCGCAAATTGACGTGGTACTGGAGGCGTCTATTGAATACCACTTTCCCAGAGATTAACTATTAATTTATGGACGAAGAAATTTTCTCATTTAGGCGATTCTCTCACGACCTTTAAAAAGGACGCGTCCTTTTTTTTTTTTTGCATCAATTAAAAATTTCCCCACGATTTGAATCTATAAAAATTAAAACAAGTGTAGTTTTGCGCGTATTGCCATCCGTTCCGGTAACTTAAAATTAAAAAGGTAAACATTTTCCACATAGTAAAAAGTCAGCTACAATAAAAATCGCCAGAGGTTGGATATTTAATTGGTAAGAGCATGTGAATTAAGACATTGAACCAAACTTCCATGAGAAACCGATAATTGTTTCAACAAAAACTCGGATGTCTATTACACATATTAATATGAATTTTTCTAATGAGACAACCTTCGTTTTGTCGTCCTTGGCCCTCAATAGTGATTTTCTAACACGGCTGGAAACATTTTGAACGGTTACGCAATTCTGTGACGATGATAATTTTCAGCTTCGAACCAGACAAGTTTATTTTTTAGTACCTTTCTGCTGACACGAAGCACATTTAACATTTTCAGCTCGCCAACAAATGAACATACAAATACATAGGAATATGGACACTACAGACAGATGTACTCGCATAAAATATCATAATCGATGAAGTTCTAATCCATTTAATCATAAAGGAACAGACATTGCCATAGTTAACACACATCGAAAAAAGTACAAACATAGGTAGAGAAAGAAAGGGGATGAAAGTGAGAAAGGAAGAGTGAGTGAAAGAGAGCAACAGCGAGAAAAAAAAGAGAGAGAGAAGAGAAAGAACGAAAAGGAAAAAGAAGAGAGTGAGAGTTAAAAGAAATATAAGTGGAAGGTAAGGAGAAGAGAGAAATAGAGAGTGAAAGAGATAAATATATCAGAGAGAAAGAGAGAGAGAGAGAGAGTGAGAGTGAGGGAAGAAGGGACAGGAAACGAGAAAAGAAAGAATGATAGGGGGTGAGAAGAGAGTGAGGGTTAAAAGAAATAGAACGTGGAAGGAAAGGAGAAGGGAGAAATAGAGTGAGAAAGAAATAGAGAGAGAAAGAAATAGAGAGTGAAAGTGATAAAAAATATATATACCAGAGAGAAAGAGGAGAGAGAGAGAGAGAGAGAGAGAGAGAGAGAGAGAGAGATGTTCTTGTAAAATGTTATTTAAAAGTTGACGACGTTTACTATATTCTCTTAAATCATCTTTCTAGAATGTTCAGAGCCTTTAGTTCCAACTGTTTATATAACAACTTATATAAACTGTTGGAACTAAATGCTTTGTTGATATTCACTTTTGATAATGGAATTCTACCACAAAATACAACAAACCTTGAAAAAATGTTTAGGGCGTTTTGTATCTGATTCTACAGTGCCCTCAGATTTTATCTTTACGCTTTTGGCCAGTTCATCAGCTTATTCTATATGCTGTTAAGCTTTAATATTACATCATGTATACGCCTCCTTGGTTGCAGTGGTAAATATATATCAAAGAGAGCGAGTGAGAGAGAGAGAGAGAGAGAGAGAGAGAGAAAAAAAGAAAATGTCTTAAAGCATTTATCACACCCTTCATAAGAAAAGGGACTAAACTAGGTATAACCCTTGACCAAAAGCTCAGGTGGGAAGTCATAGGCATCATCAGACCAAGGCACTACTAACCATTGTTCAGAGATTATGCAGCCAAAACTAAGGCATAATCCCCAGAATTGGATATACGCTTCTGGTCACATTTGTAATATGGCGGCTTAAAAATGGGGAAAAACCCTTGGACTAGTCCTAACTATCTTCAAGCTGAGGTCCATGCAATCCAACCCTGCATATCACATCAGACAAAGGCCGTACTAACCATTGGCCTGAGCAGTTATTTATGCAGCAAATACTAAGAAATTGGTCTGGCGTATAACTCAGTATTGGTTATACGCCTTTGGTCACATACACAGATTTACACCCTTTTGGACTATCAGGCAGCACTAAATGCCTATGCTTTCAGGACTAAACCACTCTGGGAAAATTTGTCCTAGGAAAACACAACAATGTGGTTTCGGCATATGAGGGTATGGCAGGAAATAAACAGGATGGGCAACTAACCAAACCATGGGACTGGAAACTCAACTAGACACAGTGGAGAGTGTACTAAGGCTAGAAAAATTACTTAAGAAAGAAAAATGAAATCCCGGACAAAAGTACTTGGTATTAGGAAAGCTAAAAGAACAAATGATGAGAGAGAGAAAGAGGCCAATGAAGAAAAAGGGTGAGGATCAATAATAAGACTTTTTGTGTTTGTAAGATGGAATCTCTTACATTATCCCTTTTCGGATTAAGTTCTTATCGGTTATCCTTTGAAAAATACCATCAATAGTAAAAGCGGGAGAGAATGAAGGAGAAATGAGAGGGATTTCGGTTGTACGTGCGTGTTAGGAAGTACAATGTAAATTTAAAAAAGTTACATGCAAAATAAAAAATATAAAAATATAACTTTATGTTCGCCAACACAACTAACAAATCAAACAGTAACAAAAATCGAGGAAAATGCTACAATAAATTAAAACAATGGCTTGTTTGATTATTTTTGCAACGAAAAACATGCATTCATATCTTTCGAACGAGTCATCTTGTTAAGGAGACAAGGCGAAAGAAAACAAATGCAGCCGGTTTTTAAACAAACAAATAATATCTTGTTCATCGACAGAAATACATTTGATCGTTTGTATTTCTTACGGATTTTCAATCAATGTATGCACCGACAACACTCACGTCGCATTTGTCGGAATTTGGCCTTAAATAATTTGTCTTTGAAGTAATATAATTTTCAGCATTGAACGCGTTTTCATTTTCACACATATTCGTGAACTATTACAGCAAATATTTTGCTCTTTAACAACGACAGCAGGGGTTGAAGTTCTTTAGCTGAGCAAAATTCTGTTCGATTGTTCAATTACAAAGAAATGGGCCTAAGAATTCGGTTGTGAGTTAAATTTGTCCAATTTAATTTCTCAATAGAAAATACACCGCCCTAAGGGACAGATTAAGGGTGGATCTAAGATTATCTCTGAGTAAATCCTTCGTCCAACTTGGTAAACTATTCCTTGCACACCTCTGAATTAACCGGAAAATAATTTAGTATAATTGTTACATTAAGTTCTTAAATGGCTAACAACACTAACAACAGAAATATTTAGAGAATGAATTATTTAAAAAGAAAGGTCACAACTTTTACGATTTCTCCTATCGTTGGCAATTTTTAATTGAGGTCACTAGCATTAAGTTTCAAGGTCTGAAGGAAAATTAACGTTCCAAAAACTCACTAGTTTTCGTGGTCCGCTTGAC